CCAACCCGAAACCCGAAATTCAAAAAAAAACCCGACCCTATAAGGTCGGGTCGGGCCGAAACCTGTCGGGGACGGGCTTGATTACCGTCCCTAGGTGATGGGGATTTTCTTTTTTTTTTTTTTACTTCGTTTATGGGATTCGAGCGAACAAACTTACGTGACGTTTTTTTAAGTGAATTTTGTGAAGTTTATTTTTAAAAATAATTTAATAAAAATTTAGATTGATAAATTAATAAAATTTAATATAAAAATTAATAATATGTTAAAAAATTAAAAATATTATTTATAATTTAAATTTGATCAATACTTATTTAAGCGATAAAAATTTTATTAATTTTTTTATTAAAAATATTTATATAAAAATATATATCTAAATTTATTAAAATTTTTTTAAAATTTTACACACTTAATTCATGTAACAATATCTTTCAATTTATCAATTTTAATTTTTAATTTAATTATTTTTAATAAAAAACTTCACAATTTTTATTTAAAAAACTTGATTTAAGTCTTTTTCAATTCAAGTAGCTAAACTAAAGTACAAATATTGGAGGGTTGGTGGATTAGTTGACTCTAACTCTGCATCTTTTTGCTTAATTAACTATGTTGACTAATAGTTTCAAGTAAAGGTGTAAATGATATATTAGTATTCGTAAATTACTCGGATTCGATTCGAAAAAAATTCGAATTCGGTTTGATTATTGTCGAGTCGAGCTCGAGTTCGAATAGCTCGATTTATTGATCGAGCCGAATTCGAGTATTTTTATAGCTGACTCAAGTAGCTCGCGAGCTTAATCGAACTTTTATATTTAAATATATTTTTATTATTTTAATTAATAAAATATTTTGAGTTCGAGTTCGAGCATGAATAATCGAACTCTTGTCGAGTATACGAATCGAACTTATTTTTACATATTAATCGAGTTTAATCGAGCGAGCTCGAGTAACTCGAATTCGATTACGAATCGAGCTCAAGCTTGAAAAATAAAATTCGATCAAGCTCGAGCCGAGTATTGAACCCTGAATTGTGAGTCGAGCTCGAGTTCGAGCTTCTCACTATTCGGCTCGGCTCGGCTCATTTACAGCCTTAGGTTCAAGGGTATCAATTTTCTAATAATTAGTTATTAAAGGGTCACTTGCAATATTTCTACATCATTGAAATACGGTGTCGTTTATTGGTAGAATATTGACTTTTTTTTTTTAATTAGAATATTGATTCTTAATTTTAATAATCAAAATTAATTCTTGAAAATATTAATTTAAAAAAAAAATCATGGGATGTTAGGATTACCTCTCGTTCTGTAATCCAGGATTAGATGGATCAAAAGAATTTGGTTCACTCTTACATTACATTCTTTAAATTAAAAAAAAAAAAAAAAGATCACCTTTTTGATGTTAGATGAAATGAAAAGGGAAGATCGGTGATTAATAACTCTTAAATAAATAAATAGATATGATAATTTAAAATATAATATAATGACATGATATAAATATTATAAAAAAAATAAAATAAACATAATTTAAAATTTTAATAAAAATAAATATATATTTTTTGTATTTTTATTAAAGTGATATTATTCACATCCAATAAATATTAAATTTTTTAAAATTTTACATTCAGTTAAGTTTCTCTACTTATAATTGATTGATTTTAAATTATATTTATCATAATATCAAAATTAGGATTTATTTATTTATTTTTTTAAATATGTCACGTGATAGGTTTCTTTCATATCCGTTTGTACATAATAAAAAATATTAAAATAATATATCGCCTACACATGATAGAAGTTTGTTAAAATAATATATTTTTTTATCTCTGCATACACGTGATTGAGCTTATTAAAGTGATATCATCTCATATCTAATAAATATTCAATTTCTTATAATCTTATATTCAAATTAGGTATCTTTACTTATCTATGGGAATATATTAAAGTGGTGTCTTCTTTCCTCTCTATCTACACGTAATGAAGGTTTGTCAAAATGATTTATACATAATAGGGACTTGTTAAAATAATGTTATTTTATATCTAATAAATATTTAATTTTTGATAATTTTATTTTTAAATTAGATCTCTTTACTTATAAGTAATTAATTTTAAATTAAATATTTAATATTTTTTATATCAATATAAATTATAATAAATAATTTTATATAAATTATTAATATTTTATATAACAGGAATTATTAGATCCCTAATTAAGTAGAATTAGGAGTTAATTACAAAAATATGAGCTGGCTCAAAGTGGGTGAGTACCAAGTGGGATATTATTATTGCAAAGGTCTATGGGGTAGTCAGACTTTACAGCCTTCCTTTTTGGTGGGTTTTCCATTACTACATGAAGCTAGAAAGCCACTGGCTACCGCTTATTTTTATTGTTTACAGCCCACAAAAGGCAGTTCAAGAATTAACGATGACATACATAAAACCATAATTAAATTTTTTTTTCTTTTTTTTTTTGGTCAAGGCATTGGTGGGTACCATATATTTTATATAATAAAATTTTATAATTTGAGTAAAATACACCCAACTCTTTTAGTTTTAATTATAATTCAATTTAGATTTATTAATTTAAAAAATAAATGTTTTACTTCAAAACTTTTTAATTAATAAAACATTAATTTTTTTGTCAATTAATTCTATTAAAAGACTTATTAAAAGATCATTTTACGTTTAAAAAATTAATATTCTCAAATGTTCCCATAAAATAATTTTTTATAATAATAATTTTTTTCTTAATATATATAAAATATATTAATAATATATAAAAAAAATTTTAGGTGCAATATTTAAAAACAAAATTCATAATTATAATAAGAACATGTAACATATAATAAATAAATACTCAAAAAAATAATTATTTTAGATTAATAATATTTATAATATAATAATTATTTATAATATTAATTTTTTTCTTAAAATATATAAAATTTATTAATAATATAAAAAAATTTTAGATGCAATATATAAAAACAAAATTCAAAATTATAATAAAAACATGTAACATATAATAAAAAAATATTTGGTTAAAAAAATGTTATTTATAATTGTGAATTATAAAAAAGTACAAATGTTATAATAAGAACATGTAATATATAATAAGCAAATACTCATATAAAATAATTATTTGTAATAATAATTTTTTTAAAATAAATAAAATATATTAATAATAAATAAAAAAATTTTAGATGCAATATATAAAAATAAAATTTAAAATTATAATAAAAAAATGTTATAATAAGAATATGTAACATATAATAAGAAAAAATATTTGGTTGAAATGTGAACATGAAGAACATTTTTTCGGTCACAATTGCAACCATTTCTGGTAGTGAGGTAAAATGATTTTTGAAGGAGTTAGAAAATGTGGTGACCAAAAATAAGCAACGGCTCAACAACATCTTTGAGAAATTATGATGAAGAGGTGGCCCATGAAAGAGAAAGTTTGGTGAAGCTTTTATGAAAGCCAACTGGAAATTAAATTTTCTATCTCCCAAAACAAAATAAAAATAAAATAAAATTAGGTTCAATTATCTTTTGTTGTACCTTGGATCCATAAATCCTTTACATAATTGTGGGAAAACATGTACAAGTAGAACATTGATTACGTGCACGGCTGGGTTATCTGGTCCACGCTTTATGGGATTCTTAATGTATTTTTCAAATAAATCACAAATTTATTGATATTTATTGATTTAAATGATAAAAAATTTATTTTTTTAAATAAAATTTCGATTTCAAATCTCATTAATAAAAAAAATAGATTTAAAAGAATTTATTTTTTTTATCGAAATCCAACTCAATTCGATTTCAAATTAATTAAAATTTAAAGTGATTATCAGATACAAAAAATTAAGACAAAAAAAATAAATCTTAAACTTCAATAATTATCCATAATTTTTGGCGACAAATTTTATTTATTGCTATCTCAAGCTTTTTTTTTTATAATTCTCAAATAAAAAATGAAAATAAATCTATCTAAAATTAAGGTTTTGAACTTTTATTTTATTATAATTAAAATTTTGATGGTTTAAATTTTTTAATTTTTTGGTTAAAATCTCCTTAGTTATATGATATAAGTAATAAAAAATAATTGCTTAAATTTATATGGATGAGTTAGATGAAATATTTGAAAATTTACTATTTTAAAAATTTTTATAATTGAATCTTATTCATCAATTTTCAAAATTTAATTGGTACAATTATAATGAAATAAAAAGTTAATAGTTATAATTTCATATAATAAAACATCAAAAACTTGTTTTTATTTTTATTAAAATTCAAAGATTTATTTAGATATATTTTTTATAATTTTTTATCAAATTTTTATATATAAAAGTATTATTTAATTATTCTCATATTAAAATTAATATCTGATAAGTAAATTAATAGATTATCTGTCTTTTATATATAAGTTTTTTATGAATAAAAATGCATCATTCGTTTTGAATAATAAATTATTTTTTGTGATTATATCAAAAAAATAAAATTTTAATATAAATAAAAAAAATTTTGATTCGAAATTAAATTTTTGATTTTTTTTCAAACAATTTTAATTACTAAACTAAAAGTTTGAACATCCGTAATAGAATAAATAAATATATATATATATATATATATAAATTGACTTTAGGACCACCATAACCAATTCAAGTCATTTTAAATGGCCGTCCAACGGTTCAAGAAAAATACCAAAAACCTCAAACCCAAAACGACAAATAGAAACTGCCACGGGTCACCATCCCACCAATCACGCGAAAACAACCGTTGAGGAAAAAAGTAAATATCCAACGGTCACAAATCGTTAGCCGGCGCCATTATTATTAGCGCGTTCCAGTCCCAACGTCTCTTGAATTTTCTTTTTCCCTAAGACCCGTTATCAACGGTCCAATTCTTTAATTCAAAAAAAAAAAAAAAAAACTAAAACGCGTTTTCAGCAACATTATAAATAGTAATTTAATGTAAACAATTATAAAAACCTTATGTTATAATAATTATATTAATGTCACGCGTTATTGCTTGTCTCTAAAAAGGGTGTGCTTCTCCTTCAAACTTCGCAACTGATTTTCCTCCAAATTTTCCTCCCAAATTTCCTTCCCACCATAGAATTTCGAGTTCTTTGTTTCGGAATTGGTGTTTTTTTGTTTTTGCCACTCAATGCCAACTGTTTTCTTGAGGATTTTCTTACTATACAATCTTGTTTTAGACTATTTGGTTCCTAAGAAACTCAAATCCTTCCTGCCCTCTCCCTGGATTAATCCTTCCCACACCACCGCCCTTGTTTCTGCCGGTGGTGAAACCAAAACATACGCCTCTAATCCATCTCCGGCACCGGCATTGGCATCGGCATCACCTCTCAAAAGAATGGAAGGGGCAGAGTTAAAAAGGGTATTCCAAATGTTTGACAAGAATGGAGATGGGAGGATTACAAAGGAAGAGTTGAATGACTCATTGGAGAACATGGGTATCTTTATCACTGATGGAGAGTTAACCCAAATGATTGAAAAGATCGATGCCAATGGCGATAACTGTGTTGATATTGATGAGTTTGGTGAGTTGTACCAATCCATTATGGATGATAAGGATGGAGAGGAAGATATGAAAGATGCTTTCGATGTTTTTGATCAAAATGGAGATGGTTACATTTCTGTTGATGAGTTGAGGTCTGTTTTGGTTTCACTTGGGCTTAAACAAGGGAAAACTGTCGAGGATTGCAAGAGGATGATAAAAAAGGTTGATGTGGATGGTGATGGTAGGGTTAATTTCATGGAATTCAAACAAATGATGAAAGGAGGTGATTTTAGTGCCCTGACTTAATTTGCAAGGCAAGGTTCTATTAAGGGTTTGTAGATCATTTTGAACAAATCAAGACGATCTCCAGCTTCGCCTTGTGGCTGCATTGCATTAGTTTAACATAGTGTGTATGTGTATGCACGCGTACGTGTGGATACTACTAATCAATCGCTGCCAATTGCCACACGTATGTCACGGCATGAAAATCAATGGTATCACTAACTTGGAGAAGTGAGAGGGAAAGAGGGTGCAATGGGGGAGTTGGGAACAATTTTTATCACCAAAGATGAAAAACAACAGTTTGTGTTTTTGTTGTTGGGTTTTTCCATTTTGTTTGATTTTTCCAGGCTTGTAAGATTGGTTTGGGATAGGTGGTGTTATTGTTTCAGTCTCTGATATTTCCCCATTGTCATCATTTTCTTAATGTGTGTCAATCTTTTTTCTCTTCTTTCCCAGTGTATACTGATATATGATTTGTTTGCTTAAATGATCAGGAGAAGAAATTTTTGTTATTCATTTTTTGTTAGTTGATGATGCAGAGTTGCTACAGATAGGGCTTGAGCAAATTTTTCCCTTTTTTTTTTCTCTCACATTAGACTCTGACCCAACATTGAGAATCCCAGACTGGTTCCATTAAAATTTTTGCAATCAATTCTGAATTCCAGGTCAAATTCTAAAAGAGGAAAGAAAACATGTTCAAACTTTTGACCTATAAAAAAAATTCTAATATGACAAAGTCAAAGTAGCTTATTTCCATCTTGTGGGGTACATTCAGCTTTGATGTGCAATTCCAATGACAGTCTTCTACGCCTTGTTCAAATAAAATTGGTCCAACACCTGACAATTTTAAATACAAAATATATTAAGAAGATAAAAAATATATATATGTAATTTAATATTTTAGTAAAAATTGTTTATAAATTTGACAAAAATAAAAATTATGTTTCTTATTTGATGTGTTGACACAAATTTTAATACGATAATTTTTAATTTTCATTTTTACACGTATTTTACATAAATACATAGATTGTCCGTGAATTTAAAAACCGTTAGTAAATATTAAAGAAAACCATGCATCCATGTTTAAGAGTTTTTTCTTAACCATAACAAAATTCTGGTTTACCGGTTCCTGATCAAAACTACAAAAACTTTTTGATAAAAATAAGCAGTGAAAGGGCAAATTAAAAAAATGAACAGATGAAGGGTAACCTTCAGAACAAGCAAAGTTTGAGCAAAAAAGAAAATATATTAAATTTCAAGAATACCTGACCTCACCAGAACTTAAAATAGTTCCTCTTCAATGCAATGTCTGCTAAATTAGACAAATTTTTATTAGGAAACTGGGAGTCTGGGGAGCAATGGTGTGTGAAACTGCAGCAAAAAAAGAGGATTTCAGGAAATCAACATGTCAACAGTCATCTACATCTTCACTGACGAGCTGAATGCTTTAGGCCAGGGCATGCGCACAACCAAAGCGGAGGAGGGAGAAAGAAGCAGGGGGTAACAGGGTATGCAGTTTTGATCTGATAGAACACCACTCGTCTTCGATTCAGGGAAATTAACATGTTACAATCATGTTGGAAATTAACATGTTACAATCATGTTCATCATCTTCACTTGTTTGAATAGAACTGAACTCATTGAGGGGGGAATACCAAAGATGCAGTGTTATGCTAATGAACAACAACAACATCAGCCTCAGACCATTTAGAATGTCAAACCCAAGGAGTGAAATTAGCAGTATCCTACTGTTACAAAATTAGTTCTAGTTATGGCCCATCTTATGAAAAAATTGCAGGCAATCGTGGCTAGTTACACATCAAGTTCAACCATTTTCAGGCTGCCAACAATGTCTTCAACTCTTATTGACATGAATTCGACATGTTCTTCGATATCTTTAAGAATCATCACTAGTTGTTGTGGAAACGCTGCAGACTGTTCTTTTTCACGCTGTAATTCATTTTATAGATCCCGAATTTTCTTATCCTTCTCTTCCTGCAAAAGCATCAACCTAAGTATTTTATAGTTAAGGAGCAAAATAAGTGGCTAACAAGAAACAAAAGCATCTTAGGATCATGTAAGTAGTATTCTTACTTCTATGACTATCAGTTTCGAATGAGTTCACATAATGAGCTAATAAACAAATCTGACTAAGCTCATAAACAAATCTTAGAGAGCTGCATATAAACTTTCTTAATAAGCCTAGCAACCTAGCATTTAAACACGGATATCTATTAAATAAGTTTAAAAATTTTGCTTGAACCTGTTTATTTAGTTAAATGAATGAGCTTAACCAGCTCAAATCAAATGTTGCTAGCGCATTCGGGTCGTCAACATCACTTCTTCATCACTGAATGTATAGCAAACATTAGACTTTCTTTGAATATTCTTTTGGGTGGGGGGAGGAAGATGGGGGAGGTTGTGCAAAAGATTTGCAAAGAGTTTCAGGTTAGACATCCAGATTCCTTTTAGAAATGCCATCAAAGCCCAAAGTTGCAGAAAAAACTAAATTATGTAATTCAACAACAAATTATTATTAAGAGGTCTCTACAACTTCTTCACCAGGACCTACCCCATAGGCTAGAGCAGCTAAGGGCGATTGCACTGTCAACTGCAATAAGAGCCTGTAAAGTGTGAGCAAAAGCCTAATTTAGTACTACCCTGCTGGTGTAAAACTGTGCAAGTAACTACAACAAAACCTAGGCAAGTTGCCAAACATGACATTTCCACAGGTTCTTTCTTCTTTCAATTCTTATATGAACTTCGACACAATTGTTTGGACCATAATGTAACACAAAAACAACAATGGGAAAAGATGGAGATTCAACACAGGACTAGCATACAGGCAACATTCGGGGAATCTTTTATACAGTTTGCATACTTCCCTTGGTACTGCTCAATGCATATGAACATAAAAAACCCTTTTCTAGACAAACAATATAGGTCTCTAGATCTTCTCCCCATCTGCCATTACATAGCTAAAATGACCACCATTGGAATGCAACCTCTTACAATAATGCCTAGGTACACAAACCTTATTATAAGAACCTGCATGCACAAGAACCATTGACAAAGAGTTATTCACAAAATTCTTGAGAGGCACATGGAGTTCCTTAGCAGCATAAGCTTTCCAAGAAAAAGAGGTTTCGAAGGAAAGAAGATTCAGGCATCAGCAAAAACAATAAACAGAAGGGGCCCGTCAATCACCAAGTCAATCAATTAGTTGAGGATGTTATTTCTGAAATCTGCTTCAGGGAGTTCATGAGTAATTATAACATGTACTGATGCTTTGAAATATCAATTCCAAATCAGACGGCTCCGCAAGTATGTAATTTAGTTCCACACCAAGATCTAAATCCTAATTATGATAATAATGAGTTAAATCAACTCAGCAGACCACTTCAAGTATCAGCAACTTACTTCACTGAGCATATTAATAGTTGGCAGCTCCCCAGGAAATTTGCAATGTGCCAGTAGCTTGTGGTTGTGCTCTCCTACAAATTTGGTAACAACCCATTTACCTCCATCCCTGGCAGCCAACCTTATCATTGCTTTGCACCTTTCTCTTGTAACTGGCCTTTGAGGAAGAACCCTGTTTCTATGTGTTTGCTTTGGTGCTCGAAAACCTTCTCTAGAACAAACAAAATCCCGTCTAATTATAGCCATGTTCTTTAGCGAGTGTCGAATTCAATTTGATCGTATGGTAAAACCAGTGTGCTTGGCATACTCAAAATAAAAATCCCATGCATCATTTAGGGATTGAAAAGTCATCCCAGTGTATGGCTCCAAAGTCCCTAAATCCAAAGCATCGCCTGATTGTTCTAACGAAATGAACTCATCATTCATTAAATTATGTCCCTCAACAGTTCTTGTTCCATCCCTTCATTCTCAGCAATGTTAACAGAAGTTTCATCCTCTGAGCTTTTAGCACTATCTGAAAATACATGTGGACCAGCAGTCCCTGCCATTATTCCTGCAAATGTAAAAGCTAGTAACAAATTCCTGCATTTTATGATCTTTGAACTGCGTTCTTTTTTTGTCTTGGAAGTAACTTTGGAGTTTCTGTTTTCAGGGACAGTTTTTTTGAGAAAGAGAGAGATTTAGACGCATAATGGTTCAAATCTGACGATTGACGTATAATCGTAGTTGTAGACATGGATTCGGAACATTTTACAAAGTTTTTAACAAGCTCAAACCGAATCTGCAGATTATTATCTCTCCTTTTTTATAAAATATATAATATGCTCACTCAATTAAATTATGGTTGAACTTTTTTAATTTTGCTTCGACATTTATTAAATCTGAAATTTAAATATGAATACCTATAACATTTTGCTTTATACTTGCGTCCTTTTTTATACTAGAAAAAAATTTCACTGAAAATCAGGGTTGTTTCAATTCATGTTACTTAGATTTAGTGATTTGTATATTTGTATTGTGTAAAATATTAAAATTTTTGTATTTATATTATGTTTTACACAAAAATTACATATTATAATTCGTATCAATACGAAAATATAAAATATAATTTTTTTATTTTATTAAACTTATATATTTATTGCTATAATTTTAAATTTTATTATTTTTATATCTTATTTTTATATCGTATTCATATTTTATACGTGTTGTATTTTAAATTATCAGATCTTGTCACCACTCCCCTTTCCATTTGACTTCAAAAATTAAATGCTTCATGTCACAGGTAAGGTTTTAAGTAGCGCCCGCAACGCAATATAATAATTGCTATTTAGCGGTAACGCAACCTACTGTTTTCGTTATTCATTTGTGATGGGATGTGATTGGTAATTATACTTATAATGGTTGTTTACGGTTGTAAATAATGACATAACAGAAAAAAAAAATTGTAACAGATGTTAAAGTCGCTATTTATATTTTTCTTTTATCAAATAAAATGAAAAACACATATCAAAATGATAAAAAAAAATCATGCCCTAAGTCTAAACTATTTGATTTAAAGATAAAACTTTAATAAAGGAACCAACTTTCAAATCACCAAACCCATTTCATCAAGGTATGGGATCCTTTGATTTAACAACTTAAGAACTATATGATCTCATAAAGCAATTGCAAAGAGTTCCCAAAACAATCCATTGAAAAATAAGAGAGTTGAAATTGCTTGAGGAAAAGACAAGAGAAAGGTTGGATAGGATTATAGGTGACTTTATTTTGGAATAAAAAGCAAAGTGAACATAGACGAAAAGACAAGAAGAGATTAATGTCAGATATAAATTGATTTTTATTTTTTATTTGCTCATCTCTTTCTTTTACTTTTTGGAAAATAGATATTTGAATTTTTTTTATGATTTGGATAAAAATTTAATAGAGTTGTTAGTTGTTAAATAGTTAATTTAATTTTTAATTATTTAAAAAATAATTTATGATAAAATTTTAATATTATTAATTATATTTAGTATTAATTTTTTTATACCTAATATTTTTAGATAAAAAATTTTAGAACAAAAGCAAATAATGATGGGAAATAAGTTTTTGAGAATATTTTATAGATTTTAGATGAAAAATTTGAAAAAAAATAAAAGATGATATGTACAAGTGCTTTTACATATATTTATTCCACATAATTATATTTTAATCCATTTTATGATAAACGTGTCACGATAAAAAATACGATCGTAACCGTAATTTAAATCTCAAGTGCTATCATAGTTACTTGTTTCTTTTCTTCTGTTACATCTTATAATATACCATTTCAGTAATTTATATTTCTTAATTGTTGTTATGATAATTTAATGAATTTATGCTTTAGGTCATGCTCAAAACAAAACTGCTAATTCTCTTGAATTCCCTTATCAATGAGGTTATGAAGGTTAATTTTCTGCTTGCTTGTTGATTATACCATCTAACTTGTATTGACCAGTTTTTCCCTCTGGCTCTATTTCTTATTATTATTTTTATTAAATCTTAGATTAGAAGAAGGATAAGAAAATTCAAATCTTATAGTTTCAATATATATATATATATATATAATTGCATGTATAAGGTTGGCAGTTCAATCCATTTCGACGGATTTCGACTCAACCCGATCTCGTAATTTTTTTTTTAAAATCAGATTTCGAGTCGAATCGAATAAGATAATAATAAAAAAATGTTAGGGTTAGGTTTTGAGTTTTAGGTTAACTCGATCCGATTCGACTTTATATATATAAATTATTTTTTAATTTTTATTATATATATTTATATTAAAAAAATATTTTATATTTAAAAAATAATATTTTATATTTTAAAAAATAATATTTTATTAATTTTGAGTTGGATCAGGTTAAGTATAATTTATACATCGGATCAAATTGGATATAAATTTTATGAATATAAAGTCAAATCTGATTCGAAACGAGTAAAAACCCACATCGATCCAACCTGTCTGTTGTCCTTGTGTATGTATTTTATTATCAATTAGTATGGCCTCTACCATTTGTGTATACATACAAATTTGATTTTTTTAATGAAGTTTAAATAAAACCTTTTGTAATTACATCAGTAAAAAGTTTTTACTGACTTGAAAAACATTTAGATCTATTTGTCGATTTGATTTAAAAAAATCAATAATTGAATTAATTAATTTTTATTTAATAAATAACTGAATTAATCAAAAATTTTTAATAATCGACCAATAATCGAATCGATCAAAATTGATTAGGCTCGATTAAATATATGAATTTTTTATAATTTTTTTCTTTTATTATAAATAATTATTTAACTATAAATTCAATTTAATAAAACTTAAATACGAGAATTATTTAAATTAAATTATTAAAAAATTAATAATTTCAATAATACTTTACAAGAAAAAAAAAAATACTTATCTCAAATTTTTTATCTTCACTTACTAAAAAATCAATTAATTCGATTAATTTGATTATTAATTTTAAGAACTAAAAATTTATTAAATTAATTAATTTAATTAATTCAAAAAATTAATTATAATAAAAATTAAATAAATTAAATCAAATCAATCGAATTTACTCAATCGATTTAATCGATTCAAATCGATTTTCCTCACCCCCACTTAAACCTATAGAACTCAAAATCAATTACTAATGGCAGGTAAGTGTTGTTTGTTAGTTGTGAAAATGCTTTACTAATGAGCGATTAGTTTTCATCTTAACCAAAAGACGAACAAATGTTTTACTCTCTTGGTCAATAATAAATATAAATAAAAAAAATAAATGATTCAGAGAAAAAAAGGAAAAATAAAGTTCTGCTTTATAAAATAAAATAAAATAAAAAAATAAAATAAGAAAACTCGCTTTATCTCTGTTCAAAGTATCAGCCAGGCTAAAACCAATATTAAGTGAAAAATAAGAAAAAAAAATCAAGTAAGTTCTTTCTTTAATTACTAATCTTTTTTTTTTTTTGCAGTAACTGTTTCATGTTTATTGTTCTATTTTAGTTTCTTTGAATTCGATTTTGCGATTCATTTTTCTCCATCTTTTCTAATTGTTCCTGAAATTGTAATTTGGGTTTTTTTAATGGTTATGCCCCCTGTTTGATTCTCGAGAAAAACAAACGTTTTCGTCAAAATACCGGTGGAAAAAGATTAGCTTAGTTCAATGGAGTAATTGTTTGCTCATTAACTGTTTCGTTTTATATATATTTATGTGCTGCTAAATGTACATAAGCACAAGTTTGGTTCTGTGGAAAATGAAGAAAAGAAGAGGATATTGAACATTTCTAGCTTTTACACAAAAAAGAAATAAAAAAGAAACTAATTTTTAGTTAATTTAATTTTCTTTTACATTTTGCTTTTCTTTCCCCTGTTTCCAAGCAGCTAAAGCAAAACAATATTATGTTAAATTTTGCATTTTGCATATATGTGTATGTGTGCGCGTGATCCTATTCATGTGCTTTTGTGGGAACATCCAATCAATTTGGGGTTCTTATAGAATATGCATTGAAAATACAAAAATGCAGGGTTTCATTTCAGCATACTTTGCGATTGTGATCAATTTGAGTTGATAAACAACTGTGTTTGTAGATTGAGTTGTTATTATTACCCTTTTTTTCTGAAGTTTATGTTTATAGTGTCAAGTAACATTGTATGTTATACCCTATTTTTAAGCTACATAAAGGTATAAATAGTGCTATTCACTTGTGTTAATATTTGCAGATCAGTTACCTGGCATTGCCTAAATACCATAATAATACTAATGTATCATGATTGTTCGTGTTTGTGTTCGTGATTGTTGACATATGATAACTTGTTTTATTGGGGTTGGCAGTGGAGAAGGAGAACCTTTTTGAACATATTGTGATAACAGAAAGTTGTATTGAAGGTGAATCCGGTGTAAGTGAAGCTGACAGAAACAAAGAAGAAAAAGTTCTAACTACAGAAAGATGTGTTGAAGGTGAATCCAATGTACGTGAAGCTGACAAAAATAAAGGACAAAAAGTTTTAATTACTGAAAGTTGTATTGAAGGTGAATCTGGTATAAGCGAAGCTGGCAAAGACAAAGAAGAAAATGTTTTAATTATAGAAAGTTGTGCAGGAGATGAATCTGGGTTATGTGAACTTGACCTGAACCAAGAACCACATGAGGGTATGCTATTTGAATCTGTACAAGCTGCAAAAGCTTTCTATGATGAATATGCTAGACGGGTAGGATTTTTTACTCGAATTATTTCGTCTCGTAAGTCCGAGCTTGATGGATCAATAATCCATCGTCGACTTGCATGTAACAAAGAAGGTTTTAATCAGAACAGACAAAAGAGTACACGTGTTCGGATTCGAAAGCGTGAGAGTAAACGAGAAGGATGCATGGCAAGGATGAACGTGAAGAGAGAGAAACCCGGGAGATATGTTATCTCAAAATTTGTTAAGGAGCATAATCATCCTCTATTAATTACCTCAGGAAAGGATCAATCATATTCTGTAAGTTTCCTTAACGTTGGTTTGAAAGAATTAGGCTGATGTTTCTTATTATTCTGCTTTTACTACTGAAAATGATACTTATGACAAATATTTCACAACGTGTGATTGTTAGTTGTTACCCTTGCAATAGACAAAGCTCTGGTTAGCTGTAGTTGAGATTGTTACTTTTTAGATGGATTTATATATTTATTACGCATGCAATTTTATTAATGTTTAACTTAAATTGTTCAGAACTTTATAACATAACTTTATCAACTTGCAAAATTGTAAGTTCTCAAAACTTTCTAATTCTTCCAGGAAGTTTTAGAGCATAAATTATGATTACTTATCCCCTAGTGTTTAGTGTGGAGAGTAGAAACTGGTTTCCCCTGCTTTACTCTCAGGTATTCTTACCATTGCTTCTTTCCTCCATTAGTCATCATTGAAGCTGTCAAAGCTCTTGCAAGTCACTTCAACATGAATAATTTTGCTACAAGTCACCAAGAATAAGGAGCCTTTTTCTTTTTACCCTAGTTATTCTAAAGATATTACTTCTGCCTTGTATCAGTACTTGATTTAGTTTTATTGAACAATTGCCTTATAGATGATATTTATTGATAATTGTTTCTAAAATTTTAACTATTACCTATTTGGAAGAATTGGAATAACCAAAAAAGTATAAAATGTACTTTTGTTGTCAACTGGTGATTATATATTGATTGTTAACATTTCTGAAGTTCCCATGGCAGATCTGAAATTGCTTAGATTCTAGATTGATATGTTCTATCCACTTAATGGTTGCTGGATCTACATATTCCTTTGCCTGTATCTGTGTGTATGAGTTTGTTTGTAAGTTGATTCAATGTTATGACAACTACATAAAGCCACCTTTTTTTTTTTTTGGATGCAACAGGATGACAAAGATAAGAAAATCCAGGAATTATCTTATGAGTTGGACCAGGCAAATGAAGAGTTAGTGGCTTGTCGGGAACTACTATGTGCATTCATGACCGCTATTGAGGAACACACGAACCACCTGTCGAGAACAGTTGAGAGTGCAGTTCAAAATATCAGAGAGGTGGAATCTAGAGATCACAGTCATCATTTGTAGCATTCATGGTTTTCTTCCCTCGATAATCTATGAAAGGGTGAGTAAATTCTCACAACTAGATTATTTTTGTTGCAGATTGCTGGAGACTCGACACTATTCGATCTCCCAGGTTTTGTAAATTGGTTGTGGGCAGCTAATCTTTATGAATAATGAGAGAGGGTCGTTAGATTTGATCTTAAGCATTTTGTCTCTTTTTCCTTTTTTTTTTTTTTTGGCCCTTGAGCTTTTCACTTTGTGCAATCAAGTCATGTTTTACCATTTCGAGAATAGTCCTTTGACTGCAACTTTACATATTGTCATTTGCAAAGATTAATGCTTTGCCATCTTTGCTTAACAAGACTTGTTTTCGAAAGATTAGAGATAAAAATGCCGTAGGAAAAAATTGCAATAAGATTGAACCTCGAGCTTAGTTTAGTTAGCTGGTAAAGTTATTCTTAACAAGTGGCATCCAATATATTTATGCTTAAATTTTTTTTTTTTAAATTATTTTTTGACAGTGAAATCTTGAAAATATGTTCAATTAAAATTAGAGTTTATATTTTAGTGTATTAATGCTATACATTGTGAACTACCTAATACTTCATAAAAAAATAAATTAATTTTTTTATGAAATGTCATTGTGTGATTTACATGTATAGCATCTATATCATGTTTGTGTATCATACATAGGTTCTTAAAATTAAGGATTTTAAAACAAAACTATAATCCTTATCAAATGTCATGTACATGCTACAAATAAAGTAAATTATCTTCATTGATCATATAACTTTTAAAAATTTTCTATTCATTAACTATTAAAAAAAATGTTTTGATAACAAATATTTATTAGTTGTTTTGGTTACTCAGATCTTCAGTTTTGTTGAAGCCTCGAACGATTCTCATTGGCAACTTAAAAGAAGACCAATGATGCATCCCTCCTGGAGTAGAGATTGTCTCAGCCATGAGTAAACTTTATGACCCTCTGCTTCAATGGTTAATTTCAAGCCCACCCATCTCCTCCTGCGACCATTCTTTCTGATATGTTCCTTAGTTCTTGGGTTAATTCCCTGGCTTCCCTGCTCAATATCCAAAATCTAAGCTTCATTACTCTCAATGCATGGTCAATGCTTTCATGGATGTCACAATCCCTGAAGACTATGTCTGATGATCATTTTTACGCAGGGTTAAATCTTGGATGTGTAAAGGGTTGGGGTCTTTAATTGCCTTTAACATTCATGAAGTGGGTTATGGTTCTCAAGGGTCAAATTATGGATAAAGTGAGATGTTAAACCTTAAACTTCACCTAATAATCTAAAGGGTTTTTATTATGTTAATTCTTTCTTCTTTTTTTTTTTTGGTAAAAATTTTCTGTTAATTTCTATATATTTTTAAATTATTATTACAAGTATATAAAGACCATAATGGTTTTGCAAATATTATTTAACAAAAGAAGTGAGAATTCAAATCTTAAAATAGAAAATGAATAATAAAAATTAATTGTTATTGGCCATATTCAGCATCAAATTGCTTTAAGGAGAGAGATTTATAAAGAAATTAAGATTGAATCTAATTTATGATTTTGTTTTATTTATTTCATTTAAATTATAAAATAAATTATTAATTGCCAATATTAATAATTTCAATTCAAAATATTTATGTAACATTTTAAAATTAATTGTAAATTACAATGAGAAAAGATTTAAGTCTCTCCTAATGTAGTAGTAGTAATACCAAATGCGGAAATGCTAAAGCATTTCAATCCATATGCCTAGTCTTCAACCAAATGCTTCTGCTACTGCTTGGCAGATCTTCCAGGTTTTGTAAATTGGTTGTTGGCTGCTAATCTTTATGAAAAATGAGACAGGATCATTAGATTTGATCTTGTGCATTTTGCTCCTTCTTTTTTTTTTTTTTTTTTTGGCCTTTGAGGCTTGAACTTTTCCTTTGTGCAATCAATTTCCCATGTTTTATCATGTCCAGGATGCTCCTTTGACTGTAATTTTATATATTGTCATTTGCAAAGATTAACTCTTTGCAATCTTTGCTTAACAAGACTTATTTTCGAAAGATTAGAGACCAAAAAAGTGTTGTGGGTGGAAATTGCAGCTGGATTCATTGCATTAGGCCAAAATGACTAGAAAATTACTTTAAAATACAACCATATAGAACAATAATATGGCATTACTAGTACAGTAAAAGACTGGAAAAATTATAATAGTAGTGCTTTGCAAGACTGCAACCTCCCTATGTGAATCAGCTTGCATGTTGGCTTAAAGTCACCCACCTTAAGCTGCTGTGAAAGAAGGAAAATGATCAAATACCCAAATTATAAAATTTACTCTAAAAATGGCCTAAATGGAGTTTCAAGTGAAAATTGCAATTGAGTTCATGCTTTTGGTTTGAGCATGTAAGATAACATTATTACCTGCTGATTCAATTGCATCTATCCTTGGCCTTTCTTTAAGTACTGATGCTGGAAGAAGCTTGTTTCTGATAGAAATAAGTTGTGCAGCAACATCACTCATGTTCATTCGCTTCTTTGGCAACTCGTTTGAACAAGTAACTCCAATTTCAAATATTGAATTCAAGCATCGAATGACTCTATCATTGATCGTTTCTTCTCTAATTGCTTCTCCAAGAAGAATGGGATCTGTAATCTCCGCTACTCGTCCTGGCAAAGCTTCCTTGACAAAGTTATGAAGGTTCAAACCCTCTTTATACGTATCATCAGTGGGCCTCTTCCCTGTAAACATCTCCAATAGAATGATTCCATAGCTGTACACATCACCCTGAGTTGAAACCTCACTTCCCAAGCCATATTCTGCATTCATTCATTACAAACAAGTGAAATAATAACATTAAAAGAGATCTTACACAAACTTCCCTTCAACCGAGCTCTTATTATGATGAATTAAATCGGGCAATGTTCATATAGTTTTGTACTTATTACCTGGTGGAGCGTAACCTACAGTTCCTCTTAATCCAAGAGAGCTTGACTGGTTTGTTGAGTAATTTTGCATGTCAACTGATCTGAATTTCGCTAACCCGAAGTCACCAACATGACCAACCATTTCACCATCAAGTAGAACATTGCTTGGTTTGAGGTCACAATGAACAATTGGTGTTTCACAATGACAATGGAGATACTCTAATGCACAAGAAACATCAACTGCTATATTCAGTCTTTGGTGAAGATTTAAGTGCTTTTCTGCCATTTGGGTCCCGTGGCTGGACACGGATGGATGCAACCAATCCTCTAAGCTTCCATTAACCATGAATTCATAAATTAGAGCCTTGAAATCATTGCCATGGGAATCAACACTCGAACAGGCAGTTAAAACCTTGACAAGGTTTCGATGTCTGATATTCCTTAAAGCCTCACATTCAGCAACGAAACTCCTGGAAGCTCCTGTACGCGCAAGATTAAACACCTTGATGGCAACATCTATCCCATCGTGATTTTCAAGAGCCCCCTTATATACAGAACCAAAGCTACCTTCTCCTACCAAATTTGCTGACGATAAACCATCAGTAGCTTTTAGGATGCTTTGATATGATAAGTTTATAGGCATGTTTTCAGTATACATTGATGTAGGCTGCTTTCTTTCCTTTCTAGACCAAAGAAGAAAGAGGAATGCTAAAGCTACTCCTAACAGCCCAAAAGAAACAGAAATTGCTAATTTAAGTGAAATGATCGATCTCTTCCTAGAGCTTTTCGAGTTACATTCGGGCAAATTGAAATCATGAGTGCCCCCACAAAGCTTATTGTTTCCATCAACGAATGTAGCACTTGCGTTTTTCAAAACACCTTCAATTGGTAACATGCCTTCAAAATTATTGTGGGAAAGATTCAAATATTGCAGTGACTTAAAACTGGATAAAAATTTTGGAATTTCACCTGAGAAATTGTTGCTCGAAATGTCTAACTTTATAAGAGCTCTCAATGAACTCAAAGATGAAGGAAACGACCCTTGGAAGTGATTGCCATCCATGAATAGTTGCTCTAACACCATACAACTACCGAGACTTCCTGGAATCTCACCTGATAACATGTTCTTAGAGATACGCAACACACCAAGATTTTTCAGATTTCCTACTTCAATGGGAAGAACACCAGTCAAATGGTTTGAAGACAAGTCCAATGCAATGGACAAGGATGAGAGACTGGCTACTTGGGGAGGTATGGAACCACTGAGGTTGTTATAAGAAAGATCCAATGTCAGCAAATTTTCACACTCACCAAGGCTTGAAGGAATGCTGCCTTGAAGATTGTTGTGACTTAAATTTAGGCTAATCAACATTTTTAGATTTCCAAAAGAAGATGGAATACCTTCGGAGAGAGAATTGTTTTGGGCCTTAAATTCCTGTAGCTGTTGAAGCCTCCCAATATCAAAGGGAATGGCGCCAGACAATTGATTGTTCCATATAGTAAGCGACTCCAAGTTGATAAGATTTCCAATAGCGGCTGGAATTGTTCCTGATATTTCATTGACATCGAGATTCAAATATAAGAGATCAGTCGACAAATTGCCTATGCACTCAGGTATTGACCCTCCGAAATTGTTTTCATTGATACTCAATCTCTGTAGCTGTCTTGCGTTAGTCAAAGAGCAGAGAAAGTTTAAGTCATTTGCTCCTCTGCTTCCTAGAAGGTTTCCATCAATGCCAAACCATTGTAGCTTGGTAAGCCTTTCAAATGAAGGCAAGCTCCCTACAACGAGGTTTACAACAATTTGAAGTGCTATGAGATTTGAGGCATTGGATATTGAAATAGGGAATGGTCCAGTGAGTAGGTTATTGCTAACAAGAAACTGTTCCAGATACGGCATATTAATACCTAAGTCCCAAGGAAGAGTACCTTCAAGATAATTATCGCCAATATCAAAAGTTCTGATATTAGACAAATTAAAAATGGAGGAAGGAACAGTACCCGAAAAATTGTTAAGCCCCACAGAAAAAAATGTGAGCCTTTTTAGTTGGCCAAGAGTTTCAGGGATCACTCCATCGAGTTTATTTGAAAGTAGAGAAAGTTTCACCAGAGATGATACGTTCCCTAACAAAGGTGAGATTCTTCCACTTAACTTGTTTCTTTCCAGGTTTAAAATGGCTAGGTTTGGCAAGCTGTAGAGCACACTGGGGATTTCACCACCAATTGAGTTTATGGCTAGATGTAATATTCTCAATCTACGTAAACGACCAATTTCTTGAGGAATTTCATGAATGAAACTATTATTGTTAAGGTTTAACACCCTCAGAAAGCTCAAGTTTCCAATATATGGTGATATATATCCCGTTAGATGTTGGGATTCCAGGACCAACCGGGTGACTCTCTGATGTCGACGACCGCAACTAACACCATACCACTGGCAGTAGTGGACGGTATTGTTCCACAAACGCATAACGCCGAGTTGATTGTTGGTGATCTTGGCCTTGAACTCAAGCAAAGCTTGCTGATCCTTCATATTTCCACCACCTTCAGAGGCTGCTAAACCAAGCAACCCAAGACTTTCCAAATTGAAGCATAAGAGGAGAACGACAACATGAATTGGAAAAAGTACTGACCAAGACATGATTTTCCAATGCAAGCCTGATGGCGAGACTGGCAACTAAATTGAAGTAATCAGGTTTGTTGGCTTTCAAGATTTTAATTTACGTGAACAATTCCAGCTGAGTTTTATAATGAAAAGCTGAGGACTCAAGAAAACATTATCAATGGGGTATTTAGTTGACATTGATAAGAAAAAAAAACAATGGGTACACTAAAACAGTTGAGACTTGATGGTTGAGGACCAATCATCCACCAAAAGACAAGTGAAGTGAAGAATGGACTTGACTGAAATCATATCAATTATCCACCAAAAGACAAGTGAAGTGAAGAAAGGGGCTTGACTGAAGTCATAGTGATCGCTAATGTCAATCTGAAATAATTTGGTGTTGACTCTTTGATGGAAATTTTGTTTGGTATTGCTAGACTTGAGTTGACTGCGGGGCTGCCTTTGCCAGACTTGAATTAGAGATATTTTCAAAATGCGTTTGACTTTTTTTTTCCTCAAATGTTTTTGCCGATGTGATGAAGTTTTTTTTTTTTTTTTGAAATTGATTTCAATAAAAATACGTATAATCATATTGTATAATATTAAAAGATATATGATTATCTAATAAAATTTGATTACATGTAATTTTATATGAATAATTTATATTGTTAACACTTAAATTTTTTTTTAATTATAGTTATCTACCAAATAATATTATTATTTAAATTTTAAAAATAGTTCCAATCTTAAGAAAATATATTTATTTAATTTTTTATATTAAATAATTTATAATCTTTATCCTTATTTAAATGAGATAATATTATTGAGATCATTCTAATGAAAAAATAAAAATAAAAATCTGATTTAGAATTAACCTAAAATTTTTTTATGTATAACACACACACACACACACACATATATATATATATATATTCTTCATCTTGATTCTTGCATTTAAATTATGTAAATACATTGTAAAACAATTTTAAATTTTTTATTTTATTATTTATTTATTATTTATTATATGTTATGTAAAGTATAGATATATTTAATATTATCTTTTTTATATACTATTAGATTTGTAATACATGTTTTCAATATTTTTTATTTTAAATCAATTAATTTTTACTAAAAATAAATACCTACATGAAATATATGTATTGTCATAATTTTCTCATAAACTGACAAGACCAAATGTTTCTTGTATTGTGATACATGAAACATTTGGTGTACATATTATTACCTTTTCGATCTCATTGAGAGTCTTCTTTTACATATAACTTACTTGCTTTTCTAGAAAGCGTCCCAGGCCTTGATCTTGAAGTTTCTTTTTCCTCCAAAAGATACAACAGAAACGCATGACTGCAGCTAAAACTACCAAGAGTTGGGACTCGAACAACAGGAAGAGAATTATGGCCCTTCTATTACCTGGAAGTGAAGTAACAATTTGGCCATTCTTAACAATTTAGCTCATTTGATTCTAGAGGTAATTTTAGTTGCAGGTTACCTGTGTAGATACTGACGCGCTTGCAATGTTCCTTGGGAGCAGCTAGATGCAAGCTTCAGACCTCGTGAGAGGTTAAGAGTCTGTGTCAATCCAGTAACTAAAGAAACAAGCAATCTTGATGAGGTGTTTTTAGGAACAATTACCCTCGCTGCGACAAGGTAGCCGGTTGCCAATGTCTACAAATCAATCACAAAGACCAGCATGTAAGTTTAATGACAACATTGCCTAGTTAAATTTCTAGAGAATTTAAGCCATTCTGGTCATAGGCATGTGTTTATATAATTAAAGAAGCATTGGTTTCAAACTTTTTTAAAAGATTAAGTTTGCATCTAGAGAGCTCTAAACCTTTTCCATACAAGTCGCAGAGTAGGATTGGGATATTATAGACAGCTTTGTAGATGGCGAAAGAGTTTTGTACAATCAAAGTTTCCTATCTTAAAACACATTTTTTCTAGAAATAGCTATGGTAATGGATTGATCAAATGATTCAAGTCTCCTTGTATTGAAATGGACGTTAATGGTGTTCACATGGCAATTTTGATTTTAAATGTCATGGAAGTAAGATAAGCACAAACTGAAAGAAGCAAGTGATAAGATAGGTCGAAGAATCTCACACGAAGCAGTCACAGAAGCGAGAAGCATGCCCTCATCCAGTACAAATTTCTGCAGATAACTCTTAGACAATGAGGATAAAAACGGGCCTGATAAAAACAACCATAAAAGGCACTGAGTAAGCATGCTGAAAATTGTATATGAGAATGTAAATCAATTATGCAATCCAAATAATGATGATTAAAAAAAATGTACATCACCTAGATGGCTTTCAGACCAGTAGATTTTGCCAGTAGCTGGAACCATCAAGGTGAAGACTGAAACTTTGGGTTTCATTGCTGAGACATAAGTGTATTGTTCGTTCATGTGGATAAGCTTTCCCTCCATTTCTGTCTGACAAAAATATACCGCATAGCCAGAGCAATCAAGGAAAGGACTAAATTGGATCACATAATATCATGCCTCAAGATCAAGATATAACACGACCATATTACTTTGAAGTAAAACCCCAAAGCAATACAAAACCTAATTCATAACCATTAAAAAATTCTCAACTAAAATAAGGTTTTCGATAAGTAAAATAACTAAATAACAAGTCTCTAAAGGTTTAAAGTTGAGTATTATAACTAAAAGAAACAATACTTCATAAAATCCTAATTTCTAAGTAGTTCTCCAATGCTCGATTCTTCTAGCTCCTCTCAAGACTAAACATATTTATCATATATATCATCTGCAAATAAAAAAAATTGAGAATGAGCAAACTACAGCTCAGTAAGTAAAGACTCACGCACCTTACCGAATTAAATATCATTTTCATACGTATTATATAGATCATTCTCAAAAAAATTTATCAACTCATAATGTCAAAAATAGTTCAAAAAACAACATTCTATTAAGCATTCATAGATCATAAATCAATATCAAAACATGTCACCAAATCATGGATCAATTTATAAAAATCATTCATCACAAACCATCATTATCATTCATTCATCGTTAACTACGATCACTGCTATAACCCGTGACATTGGTCGTATTGATAATTTCATCCTCATGATCATTGCTAACTATTATAACATGCTAGCTAGAGCCTTACGCTAACTATTATAACCCATTAGCAGGTCGTATGATCATGTTTTTACTAACTACTGTAACCAGTTAGCCAGGGCTGTAGAACTAGTTCTAATGTCGATGTTCCCATTTTCTAGGGATGTAAAAACATAGCTATCATAAATCATTCTTTAAACAAAAATCACTTTCTCATTTCATTCATAAGCTAGGGATGTAAAAATATAGCTATCATAAATCATTCTTTAAACAAAAATCACTTTCTTATTTCATTCATAAGCATGATCCATCATTTACATAACAAAAACACAAAATAATCATATACTTGATCCTGTTTTCATATCATAAATAAAGAAATAAAACATTTATTCATTTAAAAACATACATATATACATAGATTAAAAAACAAACAAAGTATGTGATATTTTACTTACCTCCTTCTGATTCCACCACCTAGTTTTTCTCCCCAAATAAATAATGGCATATTCAAGATAATTTCAAATTGAAACCACTTATACCAAAACAATTAAGTTAAACAAAAAATAACTCAAGTAACTAATTCTAGCAGTCTGCGCTACTTTCACTAAAATGATCATATCTCAAACTATCCAATTCAGAATTAAAATCTTTTTAGTGCATTTGAAACTAGACTCAACAAGCTTTCTAATCATATATAGCCCATCTCGTGGTTCCTTGTGGATTAATTATAACAATTTTTGTAATCCACATCATATGCTGCTGCCAGACAGCTTGTATACCTTCTTATAAAAATTATGTATTTATTCATAATAAACTCCAAATTCAATTTCGTTTTTTCATTGAAAAGTAGACTCAATAAGCTTTTCAAACATATATGGCTTAATCTGTAAATCCTTGTATGAAAATTAAAAGGAATTTCGTAATTCCTCTCTACTGTTGTTACTAGGCAGCCTACATATCCTTAGGTAAAAAATTAGATAACCCTTCATAAAAAACTCAAATTCAACTCTCGTTTATTTCATTAGAAAGTAGATTCAACATGCTTTCCAATAATATATGATAATCATGGCAGTATTTAATTCTTTAATATAAAATATAACCTTAATCCATCGTTGCAAATACAAGGTTCATATAAGGGTTCATACGAAACAAAAAACAAAAATTTTCCTTTTTATTCCAATCAAATTTTTGTTTCAGCAATAAAATCACATTATCAGCTTTCTCAACACTTAACTAAACCCTAACTAAAGCCTAAATTATTTGGCCGAAGAGGGATAATGAAAACCCTAAAATTTTAGAGTTTCTTGATTACAAATTACACCTCAAGACTTAACAATCAATACTCCAAAATTGAAAGAAATTATATACTCACCTCTAATAAACAATTCTCCTTATAGATTTGTTCTTACCCTTCACTTGGAATCCTTCAATTTATTTTTTGTTGTATAAGAAATAGAGAAAAAATAAGTTTGTATTTTTCTTTCAATTAGTCGTCGAAAACTGAATAAGTTAACCCTATTAATAAAAAAATTTTGGTTATTTATCAATAGGTCTTCTGATTTCTCAATCTTTATTAAAGAGTCCCCCACTTGTAAAAATACTTAAAATAATCCCTCTTTTTTTTTTTACAGATATTACATTGTCCTTAACTTTTAAAAAATTTTGTCCTCAAAACTTAATTTACCTTTATTTTCGAATAACTGAGGATGTCATTTCTTCATATCATCTTAAATTTTTCAAGTCGCTTCTCTTCGTGTATGATTGCTCCATTGAACTTTTATAAAGGGAATAGTCCAGTGCTTTAAGACTTGTTCTTTCCGATCAATTATTCGAATAGGATATTTCAAGTATGTTAAATCTTATTAAACTTTTAAAGGTTCATATTCTACCACATGGCTTGGGTTAGATACATATTTTCTCAATACAGACACATGAAAAACATTGTGCACACCAGATAGCTGAGGTGGCAAAACTATCCTATATGTAACTTCTCTCACCTTATCGAGAATTTCAAATGGTCCTATATAACATGGGCTTAACTTTCCTCGCTTCCCAAACCGCATAACACCTTTTATGTGTGTCACCTTTAAGAGACATAATCCCATTGTTGAAATTTCAACTCCCTTCTCTTTTTATCTGCCTAACTCTTTTGATGATCTTGTGCTGCTTTAAGTCTCTTTTTAATCACCTTGATCTTTTCTACAGTCAGTTGCACTATTTTTGGCCTTAGAAGTTTTCTCTCCTCAACATCATCCTAACATAAAGGAGATCTACATTTTCTACCATATAAGGCTTCAAAAAGAGCCATCCCAATGTTGGATTGGTAACTATTATTATAAGCAAACTCTGCTAAAGGTAAGTAATCATCCCAACTACCTTTTAGATCAATCACACATGCTCAAAGCATATCTTTCAAAATATGATTCGTTCTCTCTATTTGTCTATCCGTCTGAAAGTAAAAGGTTGTACTCAATTTCAAATTTGTCCCTATAGCTCACTGCAAGTTTACCCAAAAGTTAGAGACAAATCTAGATCTCTATCTGATGCAATACTCATTAGAACTCCATGCAATCGGACAATTTCATCAATGTACAATTGTGCTAATTTATCAAGTGGAGTAGTCAACTTAATAAGTAGAAAATGGGCTGATTTAGTGAGTCTATCAACAATTACCCACATTGCATCATTCCCTTTAGATGACCTAGGCAATTCCATCACGAAATCTATAGAGATGTACTCCTACTTCCATTCCGATATCTCCAAAGGTTGAACAACCCTGATGATTTTTTATGTTCAGTCTTAACTTACTGACACACTAGACATTAGGACACAAACTGAGCTATGTCACGCTTCATGTTATTCCACTAAAAACTTTCTTTCAAATCTTTATACATCTTAGTGCCTCCAGGATGTATAGTGAATTAAGACCCATATGCTTCTTCCAAGATCTTTCATTTTAGCTCAAGATCATTTGGTACACACAATCTATTCCTAAAACATAATGTGCCATCCTTGTGAAGCTTAAACTCTGGCTACAAACCATTATGCACATCTTTTTTTATTCTATCTAACTCATTATTTTTTTTTGTACCAATTTTATCTTTTCGATCAAAGTTAGTTGAACCAACAAACTAGCCATAACAACACATTTTCCCTATATAATCACCTCGATTTGTTGCACATCAAGTTCCTCCAACAATTTTGGTTGCGAAGTAATCAAAACAACCATATTTCCAATGGATTTTCTACTAAGAGCATCAGCGACTACATTGGCTTTACCTGGATAATAATTGATGGTCAAATCATACTCTTTGATTAGTTCAACCATCTCCTCTGTCTCATGTTTAACTCTTTTTACGTGAACAGATACTTTAAACTCTTATGGTTTATATAAATTGCATAAAGCTCCCCATACAAATAATATCTCCATATTTTCAAAGCAAACACAATGACGGCCAACTTCAAGTCATGAGTTGAATAATTCTGTTAGTAGGGTTTTAATTGCCTAAAAGCATAAGCAATTAACCTATTATTCTGCATTAATACACAACCCAACCGCTTCTTAAAAGCATCATTATAAATGGTAAAACTATCAATATTAGAATATAAGGTAAGGACAAGTACTGATACTAATCGTTGCTTTAACTTTTAAAAACTCTGTTCACATTCTTAAAATTTTGATGCATAAATAAAAACTCGAGGCTACCTGACTTTTTTGTTTTTAGATTACTATTTAAATATAATACTTTTGGCCACCAGTATTTACATATTTATATATCTATTATTTATCGTTATTACACATTTTGTTACCTTGTAAAACATAGGACAGTATTATTCATTTTTATTGATATTTTTTATATTTATTTTTTCAAACTATTTATTTCTTTTGATAAAAAAAATTGTAGTTGTAAATAACACTAGAAAAATATTCATTCATTGCTGCGGATCAAAACTTTTTATTTTTTATTTAAGTAAAAAAATAAATGAGTAAAAGGTGAATAACTTAATTAATTTTTTAAAAGATAATAACAATTATTCCTGCCATTATTCCTCCAATGTAAAGGATAGTAACAATTACATATGCTTTCTAAAGAATACAATAGCCAATCATTACTCTCAATGCATAGTCAATGTTTTCCTGGATGTCACAATACCTGAAGACTATGTCTGATGATCATTTTTACACATGGCTAAATCTTGGATGTGTAAAAAATTGGGGTCTTTAATTGCCCTTAACATTCATGAAGTGGGTTATGGTTCTCAAGGGTCAAATTATGCATAAAACAGATGAAGGGTTCTCTCTGATCAAATTGCCGGTGTCTGATATCGAATCACCAAGCTGATATACGTCATCAAATTGGCAAGGTCGAAGACTGATTGCATTGCATGAAAAAGAAAGAAGAAAGAGGAAACTAAGGACGAGAAGTTGAAAACGAAGGGAGGTAGCAGCCATATTCTAAGAGATCACCCGAAACAATAAGCTGCAAGAAAATTGAACTTTAGCTATGGCTATGGCTATGGCTATGACTATGAAAGAAGCAGGGACCCCATTCCACTTTGGATTAGAATTAATTATATATTAAATAATTAAGGGAACTCTTACGTACTATTATATTAAATTTAATTGTAAATTGAACAAATTAAGACCTGATTTTATCAAAAAATAAAGTAGAATAACGATGAAACATGTATAGTTAAAGAATACTAATGAGCAAGTTAATCTAAATGGCCAGATTTTGCATAAAAATGCTTTTGAGGAGAGAGATTTATAAAGAAAATTTTAGGACTGAATCTAATTAATGATTTTTTTTAATTTATTTCATCTAAATTATAAAATAAATTATCAATAGCCAATAGATTGTTGCCACTTTATAATTTTGATTTCATGATATTTATATATAACTTTGGGACTGAAGTTGTTAAATTAATTGTAAATTGCAATGAGAATCATGGATAAAGATCTATGGCAGATTTAATTCTCTCCTCATGTAGTAGTAGCAGCACTTATTCTGTAGATTGGCAACTTTCATTGAATGTTAGACAAAAAGTAATGGGGAAAAGCTCAATCCCATGCCAGAGCGTAGCATTTGATTCACACGCAGAGAGCTAACATAACCGCTGAGCTAATTGCATTGGCACAGAATCAAAGACCCCTGGTTCATACAAGCAGTGCATCATGCAACAGGTAAGGGGAGGGGGGAGCTGACTCAAAATTATGCATATATTTGTCTCAGCTCCATTGCCATACATACATATATTTATGTGTGTGTGTTTGTGTGTGTGTGTATATATATATATATATATGTATGTATGTATGTATAACTGGATGGATTTCACCCAAAACAAATTCTCATATTCTGTTTGAGCTTCATTTGATGATTAAAATGTCAAATGCATAAAATGTTACAGCATTTCAACGTATGCCTGGTTTGAAACAGAGCTATGCTCCAAGGAAATTCCAGTTAATGTTTCTCTAACGACAATAGATTGTGATAAGGACACTGGACTACTGAAGTTTAATGCTATAATAAGTAAAACAATATTTGTGATGCAATTGAAGGAAATATATTTGTGATGTAATTGAAAGGATGAAATTCCAAGTGCCGAAACAGAACTGGACACGAGGAGGGAAACAGAAAGACAGAGACATGAAGTCTAGGGAGATTTCCATGCAAGACACGAATTACAAATAAACATATTCAGAACATAGAATAAGTTTATGCTTAACCTCCCTGGTAAGCCTACTACAAGATAATACGTAAATCTTTAGTGTAACTTCAAGATCCTGAGCTGGGACATGCAACAGCACTGAAACCTGGAAGCACCAAAAATTTAGCATGTTATAAAGAAAATAAGTGGAACTTTCGGCAAATTATAACATGATCTAGACAGGCTAGACAAGGGTGGGAAAAGATTGCAATGACTCAGCTAGGTTCAAATACAAAATACGAGAAACAAGCACACACAAATGCCCCATAACAGTTTTAAGCATTGAAAAATGAATGTATCTGACATATAATTTCAGCTGAATTGAAGAATTGTGTTCAACCGTTAGTTGTTCAAAGGCTAGCATGAGCAGATATCTAAAGTTTGAAACCCAAGATATCAATCTGACTAGAACAGGACAGATAGATTTAATATTCAGTGCCATGCTGTGTGGTTTTGTTTATCAAAATGGAAAAGCCCAAATGGTTTGATGATCATGATATTGCTGTTGACTGAACCCAATAAACCCCAGTTAATAATGCTCACCATATTTGAAAAATTAGCTTTCAAAACCTCTCAAGTTGCTTCAATCATAAGCACATAGAGGCCTGACAATCCCATGTACTCAGTTTAGCCTTTTTTTTTCACAAGTAAACATGACATAGTACAAGTTCAAAGAAGCCTATTTCCCTTTAGGGCTCATAAACACAGGATTAGGAGTAAGTTGAATATCCTGAAATCTGAGAGCAGGTGGAATTCAGGGATTTATCTTGCCAGAATTCTGGCGGCAACATGAATCCACTTTCAGGTTCTAATGGTGTAACAGTATAAACAGATACAGAACCAAGAGGTTTGTACATGATAAGACTGATGGAAGCTTAAAGTTGATGGAAAAAAAAAAAAGCAGAAAGAAGAACACATGATGTTTATCAAAGAACTCATCAAATAACTAAATTATCATAGAAACAGATTCCAATGATCTATGAAGATAATAAATTTTTATAGGTCCATCAAATCTGCTAATTGCTCTAGGTTTGACTACTAAATAGGAAACTTCTGAAATTTGAAGCTTGACCATCAAAACTTTCTAAAACCACACAATGAAGACCCATAAGACACCTAAGCAACTAAGTGAAAGAAAATAAAACCCTGGACCAGAAATTCAGCCAATTCCAGCAAATTTGCATCTTACCACAACCCAAACAGCCCATACATCACTTATTTTGCCTTTTTGGCAACACCAAGATGACATACCTTAACAGCAATTTGATTTAGATTCCTCCCTCTACAAGACCATTCATGTCATCTGACTCCTGATTTTCCCTCCAGATTGCATGCACCTCATCAGTCCGAAACCGCTGGGTGAATGTCGACTCCTCAAGTGGAGTTGAGGACCCATGAGCAAAGGCAAGGAGACCTGTATATGCTATCATTGCTCCATTGTCAATGCAGTACCTGTCATCAGTTGCAAACAATCTTCCACCTCGTTCAGAACACATTGTCCTCATCATCTCTTGCAAGCGCTCATTGCAACCCACACCACCAACTATGAGAACATCTTTCGAGTCACAATGAGCCATCGCTCGTTCTGTTATCTCCACAAGCATTGCAAATAGAGTTTCCTACAATGTATTACAATACAAGTAGAAAATAATCAGAACAAAACAGTAGCAGACAATATATTATTGCTAATAAATTAGGATGCTGACATAAATATTCTTTGCCTCTAAACCTTGTCCAGTTATACTGTCAAGTAAAGAATGCAAAACGATCCTGTAAGTAATTCACCTGAAGGGAGTAGCACAAATCGGCAGGGGTGCACTCATTATTTTTGAGTTTCTCCTCGGCAGTAGCTTCAATGTAGCTCAATATTCCACTAAAGGAAACATCCATCCCTTTGACCACATATGGAAGATCTATAAATTTTTCTCCTTTCTTTGCTAGCTGGAAAGGGAGAAAGTCATATCAGGCAGGTTGAACAGAAATACATTCTGAACAAGAATTAGTACATGAAGCTGTGGGAGAAAACTTTGTCCTAGAAAAGAAATAATAGACAAATCTAGTAACATGGAAGCACTGCTAAAAGCATCTAATTTGACTCTTGAAGTGCAGAAGATTTGGGGGAATGGACAGATATAAAGGAACAGTGCAAAAAGAAACCAGAATATGTTGACTAAATGATTAAATTGAACTTCAGCAAGATGTACAAATTTGAAATGGTTGAAATCAAATTGCATAAAATTGACTTATATATCATCTAGAAATTTAGAAAAGTAAAACCATTGAAGAGAATGAATAAAGGAATAAGTGGGAATCAAGGATAATGAAGTTAAGATCTTATAGGTTGTTGTCTTGACTAAAATGGGAAGGAAATAACAAAGCGAAGAAAGCAAGAACTATTAGTCAGAAAATATCTAGGTTCTCTGAATTATTCATAGCAGCAAAAGAATTAGCATGCTTTATAGGTCTAGAAGTTCTCAATTTGTTGTGAAAAAGCCAACATTTGGCTCCTTTCCTGAAGCTTAAAGTTTCTATTTGATAAATATATATCTTAAGTCACTTGAAAGTTACAAGACTTGACCATCAAAAATGATTCAAACAGTGGCAAAACATCCAATGCTTGAGCATCTAAAGCATAAAAGTAAATTGAAACAGGTTCAATATTAGCAGTACAAAAGAACTCTTATATCCAGGAGTCTAGAATATAATATGTTTTTGAACTTGAAAAACACAACATAACATCTTTACATACCTGTTCAATGTTATATCCTGGGCTTGGATCGTTTGAGAGGTTTAAAACTCTAGCAAACCGATCCAAGCAATTCCCAACAGCAATATCAATAGTCTCTCCAAAGATTCTGTATCGTCCTTCGCTATACGCTATAACCTGAGTATTCCCACCACTAACATACAACACAACAGGATCATCTGCCCCAGTAACAATCCTTCCCATCTCAATATGTGCAACACAGTGGTTAACTGCAACAATTGGCTTCTTCCATAGAAGTGAAAGAACCCTAACAACAATGGCAGATACTTGTAAAGGTGCACCCATACCAGGACCCTTGGTGTAACAAAGACAGTCGATTTCATCAGGGGTTATCTGGGCTGTTTTTAAAGCTGATTTGATCAACGGGATGACATGCTGGAGATGGTGTTGAGCAGTTTCCCGTGGCAGGAATCCTTGGCCAGGTGGGGTTATATAGGTGTGGCGTGGGTTTGACAAAATTGCGCCATCTAATGTCACAACACCAACACCAATCTTGTTGGCTGATCCTTCAAAACCAAGGGCTATCATTCTCTTCTCCATTTTCACAGAAATGTTATGTGTCAAATACCGACCTTGTGAAACCAAACGAAACAAAAAATCTTTCTTAGCAAATATTCACCACATAGAATATACAAAAGACACTCATCTACATATATTTTAGGATATCAAAATTCATAAACAGCATCTACCCACATTCAAATAGCAAGTTATTTGACAAGGCTTAAAACCAAATTATTTATTTTTTGAAGAAGAGAAAAAGCTCTTCATCCATTGGAGTCTGTAATTTTACAGAAGACCCCATCTTAAATTTCTAGTCTTGTGTTATGTATTCCATCCCTCTAACCAATACCCATCAAAGCAAGTTATTCAGGCAGGTTTAATTGTTCATATTTTAAAAAAAAAAAACGCTTCACCGTTTGGAGCCTGAAATTTTACACAAAACCACACCATAAATTTCTAAGCTTTTGTTACATATTCCATCCTCTAGACCAAAACCCATCAAAGCAAGTTATTCAGGAAGGTTTAAATTGTTCATATTTTTGAAAAAAAAAATCTCTTCACCCTAATTTTACACAAAACCCCAACTTAAATTTCTAATCTTTTCTTACATATTCCATCACTCTTGCCCAAAACCCATCAAACCAAGTTATTCAGGAAGGTTTAAATTGTTCTTTTTTTTTTTTTTTCTCTTTTGAAAAACTATTCACCCAATTCTGAGTTTTCAAAAGAACCCAAAAAGAAAAGATTATTTCATACAAAATACGAAAGAGTAAAATGAAACTGAACTTACCAAAGATAAGTACAGATTGATGGGAGACTCAAAAATGGTGTTTGAATAGCTATGGAGGCAACGACTACTGACAGTGGATACAGAGAGAAACAGAGTAGGGCTTTCGCTTTTCTTTTGTTTTTTTTTTCTTTTACAGTTTGACTGTTTGAGCATTCTGACTAAAAAGGATCTTCATTGGCCAATGTTAATCCAACACGTCAGCAAAAGAAAATCCATAACTTAAACCGTTTAACTAACTTTTTTTTCTTTTATAGTGATGGCTTTTCAAAAAATATTAGTGATAAAGAGCATGGCATCGAAAAGATTTTCATTGCCGTTGTTAACTAGATCCATTGAAGGAGCTGCAAAAGCAGTTTCACTACAGTGAAGAACATAAACTAAAGGAAAACCCCAGGCAGTGCATTAAAAAAAGTGAAGAAAATATTTCTCCCGATGGAATTAATTGGAAGATTGACATGCACGTGTCACGATCTTCGATCTTAAGTCTTACAATCGTGCGGTCTTAGACAGAAAATTACTGTTTAAATATGCCTGAGTCAAACTCTAACCAAGGATTAATAGGATCTTAGAGATAGTTAAACATAACACACTAAGAAGGCAAAAGTGAAATAATACAAAATCCTTTCTATTGCTGGAATAACGTGGCTTATGTACGATGGTGCTTTGAGTAGCTTTTTTGGCTTTAAGCTCACTAGCTTTTATATCTTGGTCCTATGGGGAGGGACACCCCTATTTATACTCAAGTCACATGCCCTATATGGTTACTAAGTAGCCAAAAGCGTGGCTCTTATATATATTTTTGAGGATTTCAAGGCTATAGACATGTATAAGGTCAGTTGAAGAATCTTTAAAAGAGAGTTGAATTCAAGCACTCTGTGGTGCATTGGGTCCAAAAAATTATAGACTCTCTTGCAAAATACCCCCGTTAAGGGTCTTTCAGAGGCTTCCCTATCTAGGGGTTACAGTATTTCTGCCGTTTGCGCATCTGACATTTTCAAAAAGTTCTATGCTCACACCACTAACCTGAATCCTAAGTTTATCTAGAACCTTCATATGTGCAATACCCGCAACACGGCCTTCTAGAAGCTTCTCTCGAAAGATCCTCTTAAGTTCAGTATCAGGCAACTCTCGCATAGGCTTGTTCTCGTGGCCTAGTGCTTGAGCGAGGGTCTGACCTCCTAATGTTGGTACTCAAGCCTTGACCTCGATGGTGCTCATGCGGGGTGTAACACACGCATAGAAACTTAAATCCAAAAACTATAAATAAAAGTTCTTCCATCAACAAAGCTTAGCGCATGACCAACCGTGATCGGAGAAAGAAACAAGATGTGATAATTTGTATATTCGTGTATTTTGTATTAAATTTCATATAAAAATTATGTGCCTCATGTTAACATAAAAAATTAATAATAAAATATAACTTATTTGCTTTTATTAGATTCGTTGATTTTTATTAAAATTTTAACACATTACGTTCATATTATCATTTTTAAAACGTGTTTTCATATTATGTTTTAAATTACTATGTTTAGGAGAAACTTCATTTCTGCACACTATCGCACAGACATGGACCCTTGAACATATGGCTCTCTGACTTACAAACCCTTGCCTCTCCTTGCTGCACCCCCCATTCTGCATCAAACATTTACAACAAATCACCTGATCATCATTACTTTATCTCAATCACATTCAATTCGGAAAGAGATTTCAGCAACATCAAGTTACTTAAGGGAAGCTAAGACAATGAGCAACAAAAGAAAACTGCCAATGATCTCTTCTCCATCTCTATTTGATACCTCAAATCAAACAATTAACCGACTGATTCCTTCATTTCTAAGACCTGTTCTTTCAACCCACATATATTCTGGTAGCAAGTGAATGCATGAATTCAGGATGGTTCACTGACTCAGACTAGCACCATCAAAAAGATTCATTTACAATGAAATGTGGGAAAAAAAAATAGAAATTAAGGCGATGAAGAAGATGAGCAGTGTCAGATACCAGAATCTGTGGAAGTGGGCAGAGCATTTTCGTATTGAAATGAAAGTGTTGCAAAGCAAGAACCTGTTTCATGTGTTTTTCTGCACATATAATATGAATGTGGCCGCCCATCTCGTCCATATAAAATCTTTGTCCTCGTATTTGTTTGGTCTCTCTTCAAATAAAAATTATTTGAATGCTATGCAAAGACCTTTTACCCAAAAAGAAGCACAAAAAACTGACATCCCAATGCCAATTATCTTTACATCCTTCACACAAACTGCACAAGGCTGGCCCCATAAAGACTGTACATTGACAGATCCTAGTCTATCCTACTAGCCATGTGGTTCAAATATGGAAGCATAACTTATACAAGGCATTCCAATGAAATGGTATAAACCCCAGGATTCCTAGGCAACAGACCTAACTAGATTCTCTAACAAAGACCTAGAACAATATCAGGATGTTACTTTTCTAAGCAAACCAAACCATATAAACACTGGCCTATATTCAACATCATAACTCTATACCAGGTTTTTTGTTCCTATATTTCAATAATGTATGAAAAGCTATCTGGGAACTATACACGGCTCTGCTACTCTTTGTTTTCCATTTCCCGCACACCGTCTACTATGTGCTGGATCTTCTTTGACAGACTCTCATTGTGCTCCTCAATTTGCTCAAAGATCAATTCTAAATGTCTTTTATAGGTTGCAGCTCTCTTTTTCTCAATGGCTAGCTGCTGTGTTAACTCTCGGATTTTATTATGTTCATTCTGCAAAGGACAAGATAGATAAAGCAAGTTTCAGTACAGAGAATGAATGACAATATTGAAACTCACGACTTCACAGTAAGAGCATTTGACATTAACTTGTTGGGCAGATGTTTAATCCAGAGCTGATTTTGTAAAAACAGCACCACATAGTGATACAATAAAGTAGCAGTATTGAACACAAGTTGAAAGCAAACATGGCCATTTGACCAATTAGTACACGAAATTTATGCCTACTGAGGCAATCCCAAATACTTGAGTTAGAAGGCTATGAGTGTAACACCATTATTTCTTCGTACCAAAAAGAGCAAGAATTGATGTTTCAAAATCAAATAAATCTAAGTGTAAATCAATCTACTGAATTATAACATTGGGAAAACATCTGTTTGCATGTAATTCGAGCCACTCCTACCTCCTAACTGGAAGATCATGCTTCTATATAAAGTATTGCAACAATGAGAATAATCAACTTCGGCTCATTAACACATACTGTGAAAGAATATATATCAACAGACTTCAGCAGAAATGAAATTATGATAAAAGGGTTAAAACCGACCGGGTATTGATCATAAATGCAATCCCTCCGACCTTTCCCAGGTGTCAGAGGATGAGTGTGCTCCTTCACAAATTTTGTGACAACCCATTTTCCAGAACTTACTTTCCTCACCAAAATCATTGCCCTGCATCCAACCCTCGTCTCTGCCCTTTGCCTCACAATTTTTTCTCGCTTGTCAGCCATTCTAAAACCCTCTTTGTTACAAACAAGTGCCCTACCTATAGCAGATCCATCACGCCTTGAACGGGAAAGTTTGCTTACACGAATGATGAATCCCACCCTTGTGGCATATGCATTATAAAAAGCATGTGCAGCTGCCTCAGATTCAAACTCCTGACCCACATAAGGCTCATCAGCTGGAACACCCTCTGGGATGTCATCCCTTTCAGGAGAAGTTTGATCCAATTTTTCATTCAGACCATGTTGAAAAGCTCCTTCAACAAGATTTTCTCCTGTTTCGTTTTCATTATCCATGCTACTACTAGCATCCACTTGAACCGAATTCAGTACCATGCCACCATTAACATTACCATGAACCCTAAACTCCACTGCAAGAACAAGCATTTTTTTAATTATTGCCAGAAGATGAAAAGAAAAGCAAAGAAAGAAACACATAATTAAACTTATTCCTTTTGAGGTTGATTCGAGCTTGACACATTCAAATTAACATAGATAAAATTACTGCATGGGGCATTGACATTATACGTTGCTTCTCGTGATATATGCAACAAAACATTATAACTAGTTGGTTATTCAATTTGTTTTTTCTTTTTCCAGTTTCCAAGCAACCAATTAGAGCATAGATTCAATTCCAAGATGAAATTTACAGATAAGAAAGAACAAATAAAATTTACTTAACAAATTGCTCTCGAATGAAACCTACAATGCATATGATTGCCAAGAAAGCTAAGGCAAAAATGGGAAAAAAATATATATATATATATATATATTTCTTATTTATTGTTTCAAATGGTTAAGTCTAAATTAGAAATTTCTTAAAGAAATTAAATAAATAAAAAGATAAAGCAACAAAAAAAAAAGTAGAATAGTGTAAAAGCCTGAATGAATGAAATTTATTTGTTCAGTCCCAGTTGAAGTCAACTCTGGGATTAAGTTTGCTCCTTTTTTTTTCTCAGCGATTTTCCTTCATTTTGCTAGCAACCAAACAGATTCTAAGCAAAAAAATTCCCTTGATATCATCAAATAATTCTACAATCCGAGACCCTAACCCTGTACTTTCTAATTTCATTCTCAAGAAAAGGGAGAAAATGAAATAAAATAAAATAAAATTACAGAACAAACAAAACGAAATAAAACCTTAAAAAAATTCGAAGTCTAAACTTTCTCGCTTATACGTACATTTTCTCCGCAACCAAACAGAGAATAAATTAACAATTCAAACAAAAAATAAAAAATATGTTCAACAATTGGCACTTTGCATGGAACAATTAATCAAAAAACTAATTAAAAACCGAAATATATATCTTAAAATTGACTAAACGATAAGAATTAAAATTAAATAATAAAAAAAACTTACTCGAAATTTTAACGTTAATGGAGATGAAATTGCGATGATCGATTGGGCATCGGAAAAGGGCGAGAGTTTGGGGGTGCAAGATCAGCGTTGGGAATAATAAGGACGCAAAAGAACATAACGTGGCAAGAGTGGATTGGGTTCACTGTAGAACAAAGTCAAACTTTTTAGATTGGCTAATGGAATATTGACACGTGTTGGATTAACTAGACTTGGCCTCGCTTGATCCCCGTATGTGCTTGTTTGGGGCAGAAGACTCAGTTTCGCTCCAAAATCCGACCCGCTCAATTACATCTCCAAGAAATTATAGATGTTTGCCTCTCTCTCTCTCTCTCTATTATAGTTCTGATGCAATTGTGGTGATTGCGAAGGCTGTATTTTGTAGCCTACGAAGAGCATCTCGACTTTGCAATACAATTCTTCACCTTTCCTCCTCTCTCAGGCCAATTTTCTTACATGAAGTAGCAATTTTTTGTCCATTAAAACTCATTGTTCCACCAAACCCGAGAACCCTTACGTGGATTTTGAGGCATTTGAGCAATGGCACAGTAAACATGGTGATATCAGAAGGAAAACCCAAGTTTGAAACTCATCAAGCTGGCCCACCAAAGAATGAGAAATGGAAGACTAAAAAAATGTTCAAGTTGCAGAAGAAGAGAGAGAAAGAGAAGAGGAAATCTGCCAATAAGAGAGACCCGCGTCATTTTGGTCTCGCTAGGAAGAAGAAGAAGAAGAAGAAGAAGAAGTTTGCTAATGCAGAGGAGAGGATTAAGTATAAGCTTGAGAAGGTAACCATAATTTTCATTGTTTTCTTTTCTTTGAAAATTGACGTGATGAAACAAACGGTGGAATGTAGGATCACAATAATTGATTAAAAATATGAACTTTTTGTCTTGTAACAGTGATAAGGAAGAATAACATAATTTGGTAGCTTTTGGTAGCAATTCCTTTATAGAGTTGATATAGCAGAAACTGATGTTAAGATATATAAATGACATTGGTCTGATAGATGTTTCAAAGTTGGGTTGTGATGATTCATTTTTGTTATGTTTTGAAGTAATTCTGCATTTGGTGATAATGTGCGAAACTGGGTTCAAAATGCGTCATATCAGAATATGCGTGCTTTGCTGTTAACTTAAACCTTGTTTGGAATTATTTGTTGCATTGGACATATGGGAATTATAAACAACAAACTTTAACTGTATTCCATGTTATAAAGAATTTCCTTGATATCATTTTACTGCATTTTGTTACAATCTGTTATGAATTAATTAGTCTAAAATTGTGATTTTTCTAGCTTGTTGTCTTCGTTCTTATGTTTGTTCCTTAATTCCCATGTTTATAACCCTTAACATATGGTTTTCAGTTTAAGGCCAAAATAAAGGAAGCCTTGCTTCTTGAATGACTTAAGCACTATGAAGTTTCCAAACTTCAGGGACCTGTGGTGAAACCACATGAATTGACAGGTGAAGATCGGTATTTATGAAAAAAAATGGCCCAGAAAAGGTCCAAATATGTGCCAGTTGGCAGAAGAGGAATATTTGGTGGGGTTGTTCTCAATATGCACATGCATTGGAAGAAACACAAAACTGTTAAGGTCATTTGCAAGCCTTGTAAGGCTGGCCAAGTACATAAGTATGCGGACGAAATTGCCAGACTGAGTGGTGGAATCCCAGTTCAGATAATTGGTGATGACACCATAGTATTCTATTGAGGGACGAACCATGTGCAGCCAGAAGTTATGTCTCCGATGGATACATTGTCCAAGAAAAAGGTGGGTTTGCTTCTCAAGTGCGTAGCTCTATCTTCTCCTGCATGTGCGCACATGCATACTCTAATAATTTCTGAATTCATAAGTTCTGATTAACTTGAATTTACCCCTTTGTAAGAAAAATTTACCCCTCCACCCGTGCAATACTTCATATCCTCATGCACAATGTCTTTAACCAATTATCATTTCAGCAAATTGGACTCTTGTTAAGGGTAAATTGGAGATAGTCCTGTTCTTTAGCAGCATTTAAAGTGATAGACTTTTGGACTTCTGATTTAAAAACTTTTTCCCTCTCACATTCTTTATGTGCACACATGCACAGCCATCATTTTTTATATGGAGTTTAGCATCATCATCATAATCACATTTACTTTCATGTAGGTTACAGCAAAATGATACCATTTTCATTTTGTGTTAAGATGACATGTTTTGTGTTTATTTTGTGAATTCCATTCAACATTCAACTGCTTTTAGAGGCAATTCTTTTGGAACTAAGCATTAAACCCATTGCCATCTACAAGGCTTTATGCCATTCTGTCATTTGTTAGATCAAATTTAATCTATTTGGCACACTTAGTTTGCCTTATCAATGCCACTCAGTAAATTCTTGTTCAGTTATGAATTATTATTCATTCACTACGTAAGCTATAACTTTTAAGTTAAAAACCAGTCCCATTTTTCGCCTCATATTTGAGTGCTCCAAAATGTATCTCGATGACTTCAACCTCAATTTAAAGTGAATCAAGGAGGTTTCTTAGTGGCTGTAAAGTTTGCCTATGTGAATACCTTTATAAGTTTAGAACACCCGATGGACTGGTGGATGGCCTGGTAAAGGATTACTGGACTGCTTACCTTGCAGGACTGAGGGATGTTTGCTTGAATATCCTGTAGGATGGGCATTGAGCAGGGCTTTTCCTTATTAGTGTTAATCTCTTTTAAATTGGTCACTTGTTGGGTGTATGTTACTTTTCATTTAGTGGTATTGGTTCACTTTATTCATTGGAAGCATGTCTTGCAGGTTTCTCCTGGTTTTAAGGTAGGAAACCATTCAAATGGTAGTTTTCAATGGCAGCATGCTAATGATTTGCTACAAGCTTAGTTCATTAGTAGGGTTCTAGTTGCTATGATCCCACTGTTTCCCTTTGGTAAATGGATGACTTTTCCTTTGTTCTAAATTGGTCCAGAATTTGTTCTTTGGTGCAGTGATCACGGTGCTAAAAGTTTCCCTACGAGTAAATTTCTTCTCAATGTACAAAGCCTTATGGCTCTCTTCCTTCAGGGCATGTACTCTTTTAAGAAGGTTCCATGATAGAGGATTTAATCAGCCTTTAGAAAAGCTTAAACTGGAATTGTGGTTGACTTTTTAAGAGGTAGGCTTGTAAGGATGTGAACACCTTAGCAAATTATACCACCATTTGTCTTTTTTCATTTGTTTTCCCGATTCCCATAACCCGTAACATTGTATGAGTGGTGAATGGTGATTATCAAAGTAATTGATTCCAGCTTAACATTGTAAGCATTTGATGTGAAACAATAAAATTTTTACTGTCTTCTAGAAAGGGGGTCACAATCAACTAGATAGGGATGGATAATCTTCATTCTCTTTCTGGTTTTCTTTTCTCTTCCATCCTTTAAATTCCACAGGATTTTACAACAGTATGTAAGATGCTATGACAGGTTTCAGATATATTAAAGATGTCAGTGGCTTTCATCTTCTTGATGGACTGCAGATATTGTTTACTATTATTTTTATTTATTTCTTGATAGTGATATTGTCAGTTATTTTTTGTTATCTTTCTCTAGTTGTGAATGGGAGGGTGGGGGAAAGATTTCATTGGCATCTCTTTGACCTATTTGCATTGTTCTTATCCTGGCGGCTAATGGTGATTGATTTTTTGGTTAATATTCTTATTGAGCTTTGCATAATAGTTTTCCAATACACCGTCTTCGTCTTCGTCTTTTCTTTACAGGCGCTTGAAAAATCAAAGTATGAGCAATCACTTGAGTGAGTGAGATGGTTCATCTATATTGCAGAGAAGGAACTTGAGTGGTACCACTGACACACTGCACTTTATGGTGATCCAAATTATAATTGCAATTCCCCAATCTTATATTGAGATATTTTGAGATATTTTGAGAATCTGTTATGATATATAAGTTGAAATTTAATTCCAAACTTATGAGACGTCTTATGTGGAATAAAACCATGAGACTTTTGAGACAAAGCAAACAATGCGTCGTAGATTAGGTGCAAGTTTCTACAAATGATATTAGAGTGGTCACTGATCGAATAGAAGCTAAGTACTACATCATGAGAGTCATCTCTAGAATCTTGCAAGAATCAAATGCTACACAGTATGAGCCATTTTTAGAATCTCAATGCCTGGTATGATCTTGTGATCCATGTGTGTTTTGTGTTTGGTTTGTCAAACGTTTGATGTATTTCGATGAATCTGTGTTATTTGTGTTGGGCTTGACGGAAACATCAAACTTTAATAGGAGAATTTGTAACATCTTAATCTCGCATCAAGATATTCTAAGAATTTGTTATAATATATAAGTCGATATTTAATTTTAAACTTATGAGGTATCTTGTATAGGATAAAATTATGAGATTTTTAGATTAAAGTAGGTAATATCTTACAAGTTAAGTGTGGATCTACACAATAAGAATCCTATTTCAATCTTGGATTGTCCGACAAAGGACACCCGGGAATCTAGGAAACTTAAGATATTTGATGCTTTAAACAGAGTCATGATTCAGCTCCTGCAAGTTCTCTTCAGGTATTTCAGATACAGAAACTGATTCCACAGATGAACAACTATCAGAAATTGAAAATGACTTAAAAGGTGAGGATGTATTGATGAGAGAATCAGATTCTAAAGATAAGATCTCTTATTTTGATGAAGACAGTGAAGGAAGTTCATCTAGGTTGCATAATAGTGATTAAGAGGATTTGTCTATAAGTGTGACTCATATTCTGAAGATAATGTTTATTATTATGATGAAGATGGTGAAAAAAGTTCTTTGGGGTTCAAAATGAAGTTCCCATCCAAAATTGGCTCCATCATTGCTGTTTGACAAACAAAGGATATGATTCTAAAAAATTCCTAAGAGGACAAGTAAATGTGAAACTTGAATAAAGGCCATATTTCCCAAAATTATGCTCCCCTTTTGTTTGGTAAAGCTAAAAGGCAAGCCTGATCTCTTAAAGATTTCTTTGAACCTCCCTCTTTGGGCCTTTTCTTTTCCCTTATTTCAAAGATATAGATTGCATATTGAAATGCCTTTTTGTGTGTACATACACAAACAAATATATATATATATATATTTATGAAATTTATTTTTTACATTATCAGTAGAGTTTTTAAATTTTATGGACGGACTAAAATATTAATACATACTTTGTCCGGATATATTTTTATATAAAAAAAAATAATACATAAAATAATATTTTTATGTGTGTATATATATATATATATATATAACGAGAATATAATTTTTTTTTCTTTTAATAAATATGCAAATTTATTCATATTTCTTGATATTCTTAAAATATTTGAGGGTTTGGGTACATTTGTTAATCGTATCCCACATGCAATGCTAAAGGGATCAGCTCCTTTAGCCTACATACCTAACTCAGTAATTTCAAGTGTGTTTAGAAAAAACAAACAAAATACTACAATAATGTACTTTTGTATATAGATAAAAACAAAGATGTATAGGTAGAAAAGATCTTGATTTTTTTGTTGGGACTTAGTGTCCGTTAGGCGCCCACTTTCCCCTCCAGAAGTGGCACATGATGTTGCCCTTGAATTGGCCCCACAGTCTGCAGTGAATTTTTTAAATACTTTAAAATTTTAAATCTTAATTTATAAAATTAATATATTTTTTTATTTTAAAAATTTAATATAGGTAAATTATTTAATTTTTTAAATTAAGATAAAATATGTCAAGTTTTAAATAAATGATTATAGTTTATATATTTAAAATAATTTTAACAAATAATCATCAATAAATTTAAATTTAAAAATTTTTTATTAAAAAATTATATTTTAATCAACTAAATTAATAATTTATTTATATAATTAATATATTTATAAACTAAAAATGAATATAAAAAAAGTTTAGATTATGATAGACCATGTCATTCTATCACATTGGAAATAGCGAGTCTGAAAAAAAATTATATTAAATTTATAAATTGTTTATAAAAAAAATTTTGATGGTTAAAAAAAATTAAATTTAAGGTAATAAATAAAATATTTCATTTTTATCTAATCAATCAATTTCGACCATAATATTTATAAAGTATACTTTTATAAATGAAAATATTTTTAAAACATTGCAAGAGAAAAAAACAGGAATAAACAAATTTCATGAAACTTAATATAAGAAAGAATATAATTAATTATTTAAATAATATTAATTATCATTTACCTATAAAAAGTTTATATATTTCAACCCCTTTTCTATTGATATTTCAATTAGGCCAAAATATACTCTGAAAGAGCTTTAATTATTCAACTTTAAAAAGTTGGAAGAGACTAAAATTTTAATTTATTTGTTATCCCAACCATGGTGGTAGTAATGATGAATGTAATTGATTCCCACAAACAATAATACATTTTTCAAACATAAAGAATGGAAAATATCTTTCATTTTATTTAAAAAAGAAAAAACAAGAAAGCGTTACCTATTAAATAGCAGATTGGTTGAATTTTAGTGCAGAGGGTATTGCTAAGCCCACAATTAACATACATACACATGTCAATCGGCAATTAATGGAATAAAATCAGCTAGAGTTTGGTCTTGGTTCCATTAATTCGAGGAAGAAGATTCTCAAAGGCATTTCATTTAAAAATGTTAATTGGTTGTAATAGTAGATATGATAATATTATATTTGTATCATATTTACAAAAATTATATGTTACAGTTCGTATTAATATGAAAATATCAAATATAATTTTTTTTATTTTATTAAAATTTATTTATAATTTTTTAAAAATTTTAAGTTATGCTATTTTATATTTTTTATTCGTATCATTTTTATATCGTATTATTATATTATATTTCAAATTACCAAATTTATCTAATAGCATTGGTTAAAGTAATATTTAAGAAAAAAATATAATTAATGTGTTTTTTAATTTAGTCAAAATAATATATTAAATGAAAAAAAATTCTTAAAATATTAAGTAAATAATCATTAATTAGTAGCTATGTAATCGAATTCTGTTTTTATTTATTTATTTATTTGGAAAAAATGAGATTCAAATTTATTATTTGAATAACAAATATATGCATTTATTATAAGATCAAATGTCGGATATAATATAAAATAAATAATAATATATTTTTTTAAAAATTTAATATCTTCATTTCTTTCATAGAATAAAGATCTTACTTTAATGATAAGAGGAAATTTTTAAATTTTAAAGTCTCTAATTCAAATTCTATCAATGTGGATATGATTTCTTTATGTATTTTTTATGTCAAAATTAATTAATTATATTATAATTTTATTAATATATGTAATTTCATAAAAAATATATTAATATAGATTTTAATAGGAAAAATAATATTTCTCCACCTTGATTTAAAAAGAACAAAACTTAGAATAAAATCATAAATGAAATGAGTAATTGTTTTTTTTTTTTTCCTTTTCAATGTGCCTTTCTCTACTAAAGTTTGAATCTTTGAACAAATACTTTTCTTCTTTTCTTCTCATTTGTAGAATAAAAAGATTTTATCTATATAAAAATCTATAAATCCTTCTATTTCCCATTTTCAGTACCTTGACATCAAAAAAGTGGAAAAAGGCTTTTCCTCCATCTTTTCTTTTGCATTTTCCCTCTTCTCTTAATCCAAATATACAAAGACAATGAGATTATTCACTACTTTGACATCATTATATTACCTCCTTTTATGGTAACAAAAGGTCTTTTAACAAAAGGTAGCCCTTAAATTTTGAAAAAAAGAAAAGAAAAATAATTTTCAAGTGTATAGATAAATGAAAAATGTTGATGAACATGAAAGCTCCATTTGTTTTATGAAAAATCATTTTCAAAATAAATTTTGAATTTTCATGTACTTACTTGACAGAAAATTTGAATGGTCAATAAAAATAACTTAATGATCAATAAAAAAATGAGATTATTATTATTTAATTATCTTACGAATTTAAAAAAAATAAATTTTTTGAAAAATAGCTATTTATGAGTACAACTATTTATTAATATTTTTTAGTATAAATTTACTTATAAATAATATTATATTAATAAATAAATCATATTATATTACAATATATTAATAAGCAATATTATATGTATAAATAATATACTATTAATATAATATATTAATAAATAATATATTAATATATTAATAAAAATATTATATTAATAAATATTATATTAATAAATATATTATAAATAAATATATACTAATATATTAATAGTAATAAATAATATTATATTAATAAATAATATAAAGAATAATAAATAGTTTTATTTTTAAGTATTTT